TCCGTGTGTGTGGGTCCCCAGATGCCCAGGCCCTCCGTGTGTGTGGGTCCCCAGATGCCCAGGCCCTCCGTGTGTGTGGGTCCTCCAGATGCCCAGGCCCTCCAGGTGCTCAGGTCCTCCAGGCGTGTGGCTCTTCAAGGTGCCTGGGTCCTCCAGGTATTCAGGTCCTCCAGGTGCTCAGGTCCCAGAGGGTCCTAGGAGCTGCACCTGGGATTTCAGTCCAGCAGGACCTCACAGGGAGACAGGGTCCTAGCAAGGAGCTCTGCAGGAGGGCCAGGTACCAGGGGAGGGCCGGCCATGGGGAGATCCAGGCTTTCTGCAATTAAGGGTCGGTGAGAGGATGGGTCACTGTTTCCATTAGGAAGCCCTACTCTCCTTGGGAGGGTGCACCTGAGAAGAGGCCTCATTCGAATGCCTCTGGGACTTCTGCCCCCAGCAAACGTTCTTCCCTACCTTTCTGTTTCTGTGGGAGAAGGAGCTGCACAAACCATTAGTTTATGGTCACCATGTCCCACAGTGCTCAAGGCATGAAAGCGCCACTTGGAAGGAGGGCAGAGTTCGCAGGGCAGGGCTTGCTGGGTCCACCTGGGATGAGGCCAGGCTGTCCACAGCCGCTTTCTTGGCCTCATCCATGATTCCCTGAGCTGTTTTGTCCCACAGATCCATCAGAATAAAATGCCTGTTGACCAGACTCGAGTTCAGCGCCTCTCCCTCCCACAGGCCCTGAACCTGGACTCCCTCAGCCTGGGACAGCCGGTGACTCCCCCGAGGAAGCTGATTTGCTGTCCCTCGGGCCTCTACACCACCCCCCACACAGGAACAAAGAACAAGGCTGAATTCTTTCCAAGCTTGTTCACAACCCCTATAAAAGAAAACTTTTGGCTGGGTGCAGTGGCTCACATCTGTAATCCCAATACTTTGGGAGGCTGAGGTGGGTGGTTCATTTGAGGCCAGGAGTTCGAGACCAGCCTGGCCAACATGGTGAAACCCTATCTCTACTAAAAATACAAATTTAAAAAGTAGCCAGGCACAGTGACATGCACGTGTAATTCCAGATACTCTGGGGGCTGAGGCAGGAGAATTACTTGAGCCTGGGAGGGAGGCAGAGGTTGCAGTGGGCTGAGATTGAGATTGCACCACTGCACTCCAGCCAGGGCGAGAGAGAGAGAGAGAGAGAGAGAGAGAGAGAGAGAGAGAGAGAGAGAGAGAGAGAGACTCCACCTCAAAAAAAAAAAAAAAAAAAAAGGCGGGGCACGGTGGCTCACACCTGTAATTCCAGCACTTTAGGCGGAGGCAGAGGTGGGTGGATCACCTGAGGTTGGGAGTTCAAGACCAGCCTGACTAACATGGAGAAACCCCATCTCTACTAAAAATACAAAATCAGCCGGATGTGGTGGCACATGCCTAAAATCGCAGCTACTCTGGAGGCTGAAGCAGAATCACTTCGACGTGGGAGGCCGAGGTTGTGTTGAGATCATGCCATTGCACTCTAGCCTGGGCAACAAGAGCGAAACCCCATCTTGGAAAAAAAAAAAAAAAAAGGGAATCTGGATTGGCCAGCTGCTGGGGCTCACGCCTGTAGTCCCAGCACTTAGGGAACCCCAGGCAGGCAGATCACTTGAGCCCAGGAGTTTCACTGGGCAACATAGCGAGACCCCATCTGTACGAAAAGTTTGAAAAATTAGCCAGGTGTGGTGGTGCACACCTGTAGTCCCAGCTACTTGAGAGGCTGAGGCAGGAGGATCACTTCAACCTGGAAGGTAGAGGCTGCTGTGAGCTGAGACTCTGCCTCTGCACTCCAGCCTGGGTGACAGAGCAAGACCCTGTCTCAAAAAAAAAGAATAAGTCTAGATTAGGTTTTGACACTCCCCTGCCTGTGTCCACCCCATCTACAGGGCTGGACAGAGCCTTGGCGCCCGCTCTCTGGGCACCTGTAACTGCTGGAGCCCAGAAAGGAGCCCCTCCCATCTTCCCACAGACCTGTGCCCCAGAGCCGCCACTTACTCACGGCCCCTGAGCTGAGATGGGGTGCTGGCTTCTTTTCATTTCTTCCACAAATACTGACCAGACTTTTGTTCGACCAGATCCTAGAACTGGGAGACCTGGCAGGGGACAAGGCAGATGAGGACCTGTCTTCAGGAACCCTCCCAGGGGGGTACCCATGGGTGACTACAAAAACACCCACACCAGGCTGGCAGAAGGCGCCATCAGGGCAGGTGTCTGACCATGAAGGATGGCCTGGAGGGAGAGCAGGCTAGGCTGAGCAGAAGGCAGCAGAAAGCCCTGGGTGGGGCAGAGCTTTGGGGGCTACAGGGGCCCAGCTGGGCCAGAAAAGGGGATTGGCCGGGGCCAGTTCTGGTGGGGCTGAGGCTCTGTGGGGCGTCTGCGTTTCTCTTGAGGGCAGGAGGAGCTCTGCTGTTCAGCAGGGGACTGAGTGATGAGGAACAAATCAGACTTGTTTTTCCGTTTGTTGGTTTTTGAGACGGAGTCTCACTCCGTCACCCAGGCTGGAGTGCAGTGGTGTGATTGGCTCATCGCAATCTCCGCCTCCTGGGTTCAAGGGATTCTTTTGCCTCAGCCTCGCTAGTAGCTGGGATTACAGGTGTGAGCCATTCCGCCTAAAAAGCAGTTGACTTGAAAAGGTTATAGCAGCACGGAGGGCTTTTACAACGGGAGACTTCTGCTCCCACCACAGGTCTACAAGGAGTTGCAGGGTTAGCCAAAGGGATGTGTTTTTTGTTGCCCAGGCTGGAGTGCAATGGCGCGATCTCGGCTCACCGCAACCTCCGCCTCCTGGGTTCAGGCAATTCTCCTGCCTCAGCCTCCTGGGTAGCTGGGATTACAGGCACACACCACCATGCCCAGCTAATTTTTAGTATTTTTAGTAGAGACGGGGTTTCACCATGTTGACCAGGATGGTCTCGATCTCTTGACCTCGTGATCCACCCGTCTCGGGGGATGTGTTTTTTTTTGAGACAGAGTCTTGCTCTGTCACCCAGGCTGGAGTGCAATGGTACGATCTCAGCTTACTGCAACCTCCACCTCCGGGGTTCAAGCGATTCTCCTGCCTCAGCCTCCTAAGAAGTAGCTGTGATTACAGGCATGTGCAACCACACCCAACTAATTTTGTATTTTTAGTCAGGATGAGGTTTCACCATGTTGGCCAGGCTAGTCTCAAACTCATCGCAGGTGATCCGCCCGCCTCTGCCTCCCAAAGTGCTGGGATTACAGGTGTGAGCCACCGCGCCTGGCCTGTTTTTTTTTTTTTTTTTTTTTTAAATGGGGGGTGTGTACAAGGCTAGAATATGTGTGGGGAGTTGGGGTGGGGGGCCTGAGGGGCAGTAAATAGAACAGGTTCCATGGGCCAGCCCGGTCTCAGGGAGTGGGGAGTCACAGGTTGGCCCAGGCTGAGAGGGTCCCGGTCCTGAGTTTGCCTAACAAGCATTTAGCTCTACTGCACCCCTGGGGGTCACTGGAGAAGCCGAAGGGACTCAGGGCCTGGGCCGGGCCTTGCCCTAGGTAGACCCGGGGTGGGGGCATCTCTGAGTCTCACCTAAGTCACACGGGAATGGTTTTCTCTGCACAAGCCATTTCTGGAACACAGGGGTTGGGGTTTCTTAACCTTTGCTCTTTCCAGAAGCCCGGGGCTCTTGGAGTGCTGTTGGCACCAAACATCGCAAAGGAGCTGCTTGGGTCAGGGCTGGGGGCCACTGGAGTGTCGCCAGGAAGGGGGAAGGGCCTCGGAGGCCAAGGCTGCTCACCACACTGGTGGCTCCCAGCCCCACCCTCAGCTATCACTCAGCAGGTCCCAGGGAGTTCCCAGTTGCAGGTGAGTGAGGGCTGCTCCACCCAGTGACCTCGAGTGGCTGGTGTCGGGCTGGGACAGGCAGCCAGAGTTTGAGTCCTCTTCTCTTTCTTGTGCCTCGACAAGCCCATCCCAATGGTCAAGTCCCCAAAGGGGTGCACACCTGCCAGGGCCATCCAAGGTCTCCAGCTCCAAAATTGCTTTCCAATTCCAGCCCCTTAGGGGGCAGCCAGTTCTCCCACATGTGCCTTTGAATAGCACTGAGAGGCTTGGGCTTCAACTCACAGCAGGGAAGGTACTATTAAAATGCACCTGAAGCCTACCAGAGCCCCGGGAGCGGAGCGGGGTGGGCCCTTGCTGCCTGGGTGGTCAGAGTAGGGGGCTCACACAGGTCCTGGGCCAGGGCTCCAGCTGCTGCACAGGCTCCCAGCTGCACCCCAGAACCCTCTGGTCTGCCGCTGGGAAAAGGCTTCCCTAAAGGAAGGGCCCAACCCCCAGTGCCAGAAGACCTCTTGCTAACACCTCGTGGAGCTGACAGCTTACTCGAATTTATATTCCCAGCACCTGGGGCCCTTCCGGTCCCTCAGCACCAGGTGGGACTCAGTGTCTCCAGGATCACTCAGCCTATGGGACCCACTCAGGGCCTCTGACCCAAATCCCTGTCCCCCACCGCCCATTCAGGTGGGATGAGACTGCATGGGTCCTGGCGACAGGCACCTCCACTGCTTCCAGGACGGGGCCCCACGATTGCCCTCCGAGGCTTGGGGGTGTCCTGGGAACCCAGAATCGGTGCTGCCTCCTTTCTTGCTGTGATCCCAGGCTGGAGAAAGGCTTCCTTCCTGACCTCCTGGGAGCTGGAGCCCTGTGTCCTCCCAGCAGGTGACCCCCCAAGCCCTTCCCAACTCTGCTCCTGCAGCTCTCTGGAACTGAAACCTTCCCCCTCCACCCAGTGGTCTCCACCGGAATGTCCCAGCCCCCCACTCCCAAGGCAGATCACCCTGGAGGGGGGCGTGCTCACACGTGGGGCCTGTGTTGCCTGCTCACGGCTCACCCCCACCCGGTGGCCTCAGCGGGCTGTTGGTTGAATGAATGAATGAATGTGTGATGGTGGAAGGAATGGGGTGACCAAGGGGGGCTCAGGAACGTTCCCACACCCAGAACCCGGCGCTGAAGAAAAGAACACGGAACATCAGTCGTAGGATGATTGAGTGTTTCTTTAAAAACAAAAACCCCACAAAAAAGCCCGAATGCCTTGCCCAGCCCAGCCCAGCCCAATATAACAGGTTAGCCATTAACACAAAACAAAAGACATCCCAGCCACACACGTCATTACTCGGCAGAGGGTGTCCGGCCTGCTCGGCCGGCGTCACAGTGGATGGCCCTGCGTGGCTGGGACACAGACACGGAGCAGGCGTGGCACCTGCGCCACGCAGAGCAGCAAGGCTGGGCAAGACCACTGGAAATAAATAAACACGGTGCCGACAGCATCTTAAATTAGTAAGACGTTAGCACAACACAAAAAAGCAAAACGACGGAAAACACGCTTGCTTGTCTTGGTGGGGTGTGCTTTAAAACACGCAAGACCCATGAGTGAAAACCATTGTGGCATTTGTCAGTGGAGGATGGAGAAAAAGGGAAGGGAAAGGGAAGTCTTCCCTGGACCCTGTGGAATTCCAGCACAGCAGGAGGGGAGTGGACACAGCCCCTGCTTTCTGAATTGGGGTCCCTGGGCTGGGTTGGGGGACACCGCCCCATGACCTTCTGTGGAGAAGTTCTTCCCCCTCACAACCCAGATGCCCGAGAGAGACTTTGCAGTGTGAAGAGGGACCCCAGCGGCTGCCGCGATTTCACTAAGGAGCTACTTTCCGCCACGGACACGGGCAGCCCCCATGTCGCCCACAGCCACAGCAGCCAACAGGCAAGCGTGTCTCATGGACAGGCTGCTTGCTCCTGCTTCCTTAAGGCACGTCCACCTCCCAGAGCAGGAGGCCGCCACAGAATGGCATCCCACGGCCCCGCTGGGGGCGGGAAGCGGCAGACACCCACACAGGCCCTGCTGGCCCCCGTGGAAAGCTCCCAGGGGTGGGTGAGACCAGGGAGCACCTCCCCCGTCTCGAGAGCCGTGACTGCCTCCAATGTCCACTGCCTCCTGGGTTCACACACCCGCCCTCCAGGCAGGCTGGGCACCAGCTCTGTCCGTCTCTGCGGCCAGGAGAACAGGTACGGGAGGGACTTGGTGTTGTCTCATCCGACAGTCAGTTCACCTGCCGCTGCCGGTCCTCAGCCTCCAGACGGTGGGCTGATCCCTTGGGCCCCAGAAAAGATGCAGTTCCTATGAGCAGACACCGGCAGCCAGTCCATGGACAGCTGGAAGCAGTGTGGCAGGGGCGCCAGGGCTGGATGGGCTCCTGGGCTCTGGAACAGAGGTCTTCATTCCTCGAGCAGGAGAGACGGACATCTGGCCCAGGACCCCAAACTGTTCATCAGGTTTCTGTGGGCCCACTGGATGCTGAGGGGGTTGGTGCCTAGGCAGAGGGTGGCAGGCTCCACCGGGCACTTGCTCAGAGCTGGCAGCTTGAGCAAGCTGGTCAGTAAAGCTGTGTACAGATCAGTAAGCCTGCTCCAGGGCCTTCTGGCTTGGGGGACTCGGGGCTGTGCCACAGGGCTGCTCCTCTGGCCACAGCTGAGCGCTGGGGAGAAGCCGGTGGCTGAGGAGGAAGAGCCCCCCCAGAGCTCAGGAGGGGTCTGGCAGGGCGGTCTTCTTGTTCTGTGGGCACCTGGCTGCTTCCACAGAGGCAGGGACAGCTCAGGAAAGTGGGCCGAGTCAGCCAGGCCTCAGCTGCCTCCCCCAGGGAAGAAACAGGAACAAGGAAAACACGGGCCGCTAGTTCCACCTCTCCACAGGGGGTGAGGGCCACGCGAGGGTACAGGGGCCTCCAGACACAGGCCGCAGAGAGGTGAGCCGTGCTTGACGCTATCTCCAGGACCAGGACAGACCGTGAGGGGGACAGACAGGGCGAGGAGGTGCCTCGGCCGGGAGCGGGAACCCTGCCCCAGCCAGAAGGGGCTGCTGTGGGGTGTGGGGTGGCACAGAGGCCAGTACTCTGGAGCCTGAGGGCAGCGGCAACCTTGGGCTGGGGACACTGCTGTGTGGGGCCCAGGGTGGGCGCGCACTGGGGTGCCTGGCCATGGCGTGTCTGCCTTTCTTGTCTCTGTTTCCAGAAGACAGAAGTGCAGGGCTTCGTCTGCGTGAACCAGAGCTCGGCCTCCAAAACTGGACACAGAGGCCGCATTGCCTTAAGGCCAGGCCTGGGGAGCTGCAGGGATGCCAGCATGCCCCCTCCCCAGGGCTGCTCACCGGCTTAGGATGGTGTTTCAGGAGTCTCAGGCTAGGACAGGCCATCAGGATTCCAACAGGCCTGAAGCACCTCCTGGGAGGACCCCCGGAATCACCCACCCTGGATCCTTCACCTTGCCCAGCCCCCGACCCGCCCCATTCCAGGCACCTCCACCCTGGTGCCGCCCCACGGCTGAGTTTCTGCTCTGCAAGCCCTCTCTGCAGAGGCCGTGTCTCTTCTGGGACTGGCGGGGAGGGTCCTATCTTGGGTCTTTAAGGCAGAGAGACATAAGCCCATGGGGCAATTTTCACGAATGTCGCCGCATTTATAACCATAAAAAAATAAAGAAGACAAGCACGTGTGTGTGGGGCCGGCTGTCCGGCCATCAGTGCAGGTCTGCGGTCACGATGAGGTTCCAAGGCTCAGTAGCTCTGTTCGCCCAGGGACAGTGATCTGGTCCCTGGCACATTGTGTGCGGGAGAAAAAAAGGGGAGACAGGGAAAAAGGAAGGCTCCTGCCCTCCGAGCCCCTTCAAACATCCTCTTAGTGGTGTCAACTTGACCCCGAATTTAAGTTAAAAAAACAAGTAAACAAAGGAAGGAAGGGAAAAGGACCCAAGGAGGCCAGAAGCCGCTCCTGGCAGGAGCGCAGTCCCCGCCTGGGTCCCAGGGTGGACCTTACTTGAGGGACGAGATTCGTAGGTTCGTACCAGAGTTTCCACAGCAGCCTCAGCTGCCTGACCTGGGAGGGACAGCGAGGGATGCTGGGTGCGCAGCTGAGCTGTGGATGGCGGGGAGCTGGCGTGGGCTCGGGGCTCTGTGTGCTCCTCCGCAGCCTCTCGGCCTCCGGGCTATGTCTCCTGAGGCACCACCTGCATGAGCTTCTGACACAGGACGGTCGTGGAGACTGTCAGGAGAGAAGACTGCTGTGTTAGCCAGGGGCTGGACGGCAATATGGGACATGGGGGTGTGAGTTGGGGCTCCCCCAGCTGTGTCACCAAACCCAGGGCCACCACCCCTCCTGAAATAGCAGAGAAGCCAGAAGCTAGGATTTTAAGGACGCCTCCTGACTTGGGCACGTGGACACAGGGTGTGCGAGGTACTGTCTGCTGCTGAGATGCACAAGTGTGGCATCTGATCCAGAACCCTGGGGAAGGAGGAGGAGCATGGCCCGTGGAGCACACGACCCAGGCCCTGGGGCCTTGGCAAAGTGCAATGGGGAGACGACGGGCCTTCCTGCCAGGCCGTGCCAGGGGCACAACCTGGACATACACCCAGACGGCCAGGCCGCCCTGCAGGAAAAGCTGGAGGAGCCAAGTCTGCTGAGGGGTCCTTGGGAAGACCTGTCACACCCGGGACTTTGTAGAGAAATCGCTCTGGGGATGGAGACTGTTTCAGGATAGAGAGGGGGTTTTGCTTTAAGCTCTTGGTGTTCTGAATGACTTTTTTTTTTTTTTTTTTTTTTTTAAGACGGAGTTTCACTCTTGTTACCCAGGCTGGAGTGCAATGGCGAGATCTCGGCTTACCGAAACCTCTGCCTCCTGGGTTCAGGCAATTCTCCTGCCTCAGCCTCCTGAGTAGCTGGGATTACAGGCACACGCCACCATGCCCAGCTAATTTTTTGTATTTTTAGTAGAGACGGGGTTTCACCATGTTGACCAGGATGGTCTCGATCTCTTGACCATGTGATCCACCCACCTCGGCCTCTCAAAGTGCTGGGATTACAGGCTTGAGCCACCACGCCCGGCCCCTGAATGACTTTTAAAAGCCACCTAGTGACATGGTGATGAGTGTCTAGGCCCGCAGGCACCCTGGCCTTTTTCTAGGAATATGGCCACATTTGCAGGCGCTGAGGGGTCCTAAACTTGGTGGCAAAGCACCCCCAGGGCCGCCGCTGCAGAGAGTACCGTAGAGGGGTTCGTCCCTCTACGGGACGACCACTGACCCCCCACCTCTTTTTTTTTTGAGTCGGAGTCACTCTATCACCCAGGCTGGAGTGCAATGGTGGGAGCTTGGCTCACTGCAACCTCAAGCTCCCGGGTTCAAGCAATTCTCCTGCCTCAGCCTCCTGAGTAGATTGGATTACAGGTGGCCCCATGCCCAGCTAATTTATTTATTTTTAGTAGAGATGGGGTTTCACCATGTTGGCCAGCCTGGTCTCAAACTCCTGACCTCAAGTGATCCACCTGACTCAGCCTCCCAAAGCACTGGGACTACAGGTGTGAGCCACCACGCCCGGCCTCCCTCTGTCTTGCTGGGTAAGTCTCCTGTGGCAGCTGGCAGGATTTTATTACTTGGCTGCAGCAGCCTAATTTCTGGAATCCCTCGTCCTAAGAGATTAGCTGCTGCTAATCTGAGTGCCTTATCCCTGAAACACGTGGGCCGTGAGTCACTGGCGGACAGTGCAGTGACCTGAACTGTCCTGCCACCCAACACACTTGGACCATGTGGGTGGAGACAGCCGACGCCTCTCAACCCCCTTCGCTGCCCCCGGCAGAGGGTACCGCGGGCTATGGGCCAGCGAGACACTCACAGATGCCCTGGAGAAGCCACTTGGGCTTGTTTTTCCACCAGACCCCTAAGAAGTAGACGGGCAGCCCGCTGAGGATGATGGTGAAGCCGATGCCACACTCCACAGGGGTCTTCCAGAAGGAGACGGCAATCAGGAAGAGGCAGGCCAGGATGAAGAACACGGGCAGGGCCAGGTTCACCTGCGGTAGAGGACAGAACCCGGGTGAGCTCTGCGGCTGTGCTGGAGCCCCCTCCTGTCCAGCCTCCCTCCCCCAGCCCCGAGGTTCTTCAGCCCTCCTGGGCCTTCCACACCCACTCGCTGCTGACTTCAGGTCACCGGAATGTGACCTGCACCCCGTCTGCCTCACATACAGTGTCACCTGCCCCTCCCTGGACTCCACACACAGTGCTAGGCCTGTTGCCCGAGGCTCTGGTGGCTGCTGCTGGGGATGGAAGGAACCGGCTCTGTCTCCCGAGGCATCCCATGGGCAGGGAAGGTCATGGTTCCACTCCCATGCCACAGGCCTGGAAACCCTGAGCCATCAGGAGGTGCAGGGGCCTGACGCTTCCGGGAGACAGCAGCCACCCGCGAAGAAGCCAGGAGACTGCCCTCTTGGAGACCCTGCTGTGGACTAGGGCTGAGCAAAAGCCCATCCCTGAAGCGGCACCCTAAGCCGTCACCTCGAGCGGATGAACTCCACCCGGCACAGAACCCAGGCAGGGCTTCGAGGAGCCTGCAGGCCCAGCCCGTGACCCGCTGCTGGGCATGGCTGTGGGACTCAGCTGTCCTGAATGCATACTCAAACAGGCCACCCTCGGAGACGCAGAGCTGACTGCGGGTCCCATCAGTGCAGGCTGCATGGCTGCCCTGTCCCCAGAGAACAGATGTCCACCCTGTGCCCAGGCTCACAGTGGGCAGAGCCTATCCCGTGGCCTAGGTCTCCATGGGAGCGGAGCCACTGCCATGGCCAGTGACTGCCTTGTGCCACCTCTCCTGGGCCGGGCTGGGCCTTGTGCTGGCTCCTGCTCCAAGGCCCTGTGGCCAAGCTGGCGTGGCAGACACAAGCTGGTGCCCAGGATGGGCGGCTCCCTCCTCGCCCTACACAGTCTTCTCTCAGAGGTGCATCTGGGTTCTTGTACTGACCATCTTTTAAAGCTCTTGTTAAACCGTGTTCACAGGCCTCCCACCAGACCCCAGACTTCAGGAACACAGGGGGCAAGATGGCCCCAGCAGGGGAGTGGGGCTCCCGTGAGAGACATATGTCAGCTGAGTGACAAGAGCTGCTGGCCAGCGGCCACCAGGGGCTCTGTGCTCTCGTCCTGTGTCAGGGCCAGGGTGGCGGGGCTTGCTGGGCCCTGGGCGGGAGCATGGCCTCCGAGGGACAGCCCCCTTTTGAGGAAAGCAGCTCAGTGACAACAGCTGCCCCTCTGCAAGGAGCTGCTGGGGACGGGGAGAGCCCACCTGGGCCCAGGAGTTCCTAGGGCCAGGCACCCCACACCTTGCATTCCACCCCCCAGCACAACCGACCACCCTGGGAATGCTGCGCCAGGCCCTGCGGGTTCACGCTACGCCCTTATCTGCCTCGCTTCATTCAAGGGAGCTCTGTCCGTCTGCTGTCCTTTGAGAAACCCCAGCTCCTGGTCAACAGTCAACACCGGAATTAGGTGACCCCCGTGTCTGCTATAGAAGCACAGGCAGACAGCCTCATGCCCCTCCCACCACACAGCCTCACCCCTCTCCCACTGGGACCCCCTGCAAAGTAAGCCCTGGTTTAGCTTGATGGGGACGTGGCCTGGCCCAGGTGCAGGCAGGCAGGCAGATGCAGGTCCAGAGGCTGAGCTGGGGTGCCGGCTCCCAAGCTCAGGTCCTCAAACCCTCGGACCCTCCCTCTGTGAGGGCAGCTGGGTAAGCGGGAGCCCGGGCTTACCTTGATGGGCCGCTCAAGCTCGGGCTTTCTGTAGCGCAGCCAGATCATGCCGATGATGGCCAGGGCCACGCAGAGCCAGTTGAAGAAGCTGAAGAAGTTGATGACAGAGAATATGTCCTTGGAGAACGCGTACAGCAGCGTCATCACACACTGCAAGAGAGGCGGCCAGCTGAGCCCAGGCCCACAACCCAGCTGGGAGGCGACAGTGGCCACTGGGACGACCTGGCTGTGCCCAGCTGAGCACACTTGCAGGAATTTTGTTTTAAAGGAGAAACCTCATCTGACCAGGAGGTCTTGAAGGAGAGAAGGAGGGAGCGAGGAGGAGGATAGGGGAGAGGGGGAAGATGGAGGGGAAGAGGGAGGAGGAACGGAAGGAGGGAGGGAAAAGAGGCAGGAGGGGAAGCGGGAGGGGAGGAGGCCAGAGGGAGTGGAAGAAAAGGAGACCACCTCCGGGTTTCAAGGACAGGTGAAGAGCGCAGTGTGCGTTTGCAGCTGGGCCCCTGGGCTGAGGCTCTGTGAGGATTACAACCTGACCTAACCCCTTGTCCATCAAGAGGACAGTTTCCGTAGCCCCCAGTGCAGCTGTCAAAACACAGTCCTCATGGATGCTCCAGGGAGCCCAGAAGTGTGGGCTGCTCTCCCTCCAGCTCCCCAGGCACACGGCACTTCCCAACTCCCTTCTAACACTGGGGAGGAGCAAGGGTCAGGACCCACAGGAGGCACTGCAGCGTCCTCTGCCTCTGTTGCTCTCACTGGCTCTGGGGGAAGCAGCTGTGTCAGTGGCCTCTCCAGCCCTGGTCACACCCTCGGATGAGACTACAGCCCCCGGAACCAGCTCCCTGAATTCTTGACTCATGGAAACTGTGAGATAATAAGCGCTTTTCCTTTAGACCACGACACTTTTGAGCGATTTGTGACACAGCAACAGGGAACTAAGGCAATCCCACGGACCAGGCACAGAAAGACGCAGGAGAAGCGGAACAACAGCACGTGATGCACCCCGCTGGAGAAACCGGCCCTGAGTGGCGCCTGCGGGGGCAGAGGTGGAGTGAGCAACCCAGCTGGGGCGAAGCTTTTGTCTCCCAAGTTTCCGACAGTGTGAACTGCTGTGGCAGCCACCATATGCTATTTTGGGATAAAACCTAAAGCCCCTTCAGCACTCTCGGGCATTCGGTGGAGCTCGCAGGAGGAAACATTCTGCTGCCTCTCCAGGCCACATGTGAGCTGCCACCCAGTCCACAGCCCGGACAAAGTTGCAAGCTGTGGCGGCCTCCCTCTGGGGAGCCCCCAACAACCCCCAGGGATGCAGGCGCGGGGCTGTGTGGCAGGCTTACCGTGAACACAAGGGATGGCATGGGGGTGAGGAGCTGCGGGTGGATCATGGAGAGGATGGAGGGCAGGTGGCCTTCCCGGGACCCCACGAAGAAGAGCCTGTGGACAGAGCGGAGAGGCAGTCAGCCATCACCTCACAACCCAGGACAGAAGGGGACATGGCAGGCTGGGAGTGGATGGGGCCTGTGCCTGGCTTGTCTGGACCTCTCGCCAGAGCGGGGATCAGAACCCTGTGGCTTCCGGCTGTGGGCCTCTCTGCATCCACAAACGACTCGGCTGGCAAGGACAGAAACTCCAGCCCCAGGGGGTCAAGAGGTGGCTATGGGCACCTTGGGACACCACAGCTGGCCTCTCGGCAGGGGTGGGAGGTGAGGGGCAAAGTTCATGCTCCCCCCCACCCTTTTTTTTTTGAGACAGGATCTCACTCTGTCACCCAGGCTAGAGTGCAGAGGCACCATCTCACTGCAGCCTCGACCTTCCAGGCTCGAGCAATCCCCCACCTCAGCCCCCCAGGGAGCTGGGACTATGGGCATGTATATTTTTGTAGTGATGAGGTTTTGTCATGTTGCTCAGGCTGGTCTCAAACACCTGAGCTCAAGCGATCTGCCCACCTGGGCCTCCCAAAGTGCTGAGATTACAGGTGTGATCACTGTGCCCGGCCTATTTGAGCTTTAACAACGATGCATCCCGTTTCAGAGGCAAACCTTTCACAGACACAGAGCATGCTGGCCCTGGCCCTGAGGCCTGGGCCTCCCTCACCTGTAGGGGGTCGGGCTGCGCTCACCTGGAGGATGTGAACAGGGACCCATTGACTGAGCCGAAGCAGGACAGGCCCACAAAGACAGGGATGATCCAGGACATGACGCCCAGGTGATAGTTTCCGAAGTCCTAGGCAGACAGAGTGAGCTGGGCTCCGCCGGGCGGGCCCTTGGCCCTTCCCACCCTCGCCGAGAGCCCTCTGCAGAGGAGAACCTCTCGGGCTGGATCCTGGCCTTTGGGGGGACTTCCCTCTGCTCAGCCTGCTTACAGGGGAGCCCTTGAGGGGCCCCAATCTCCCCACTCCCCTGGAACTCCCTAGAGCAAGCTGTGGCCTCCATGTGGGGATTCTGCCCTCCCCATCTGGGGTCCTTCACAGGCCCAGCATGGTGCCCAGTGGGCGGTGGGCTGGGAGTCAGAGCCTGTTCAGTAGGAAGCTGGCCAGAGCTCCCACTCCGTGTTCCCCTGGGCTGGGAGGGCAGTGGGAGGAGCCTCAGAAGCTGCCCAACAGCAGTGTCCAGGCCTGGCCTCCGTCCTGCCGAGCCGGCAGCAGCGACGCCTTCCAGCAAACCCGTCGGCAGCAGCTGCCAACTTTTCAATACTCAGATTTAAAATGACTGCTGCCCTGAGTCCCCCAGGCATTCTGGCTTATAGCTGGTTCCAGGTGTGGCCTGGAATCAGATTTTAAACCCCCTCTCCCCTGCAACGAGGACGATCCCGACATTCCCTCTGCGGTCGTTGTGAGAGGAGACCCATGACCACCACTCCAGCCCTCCATGTAGGGGAGGCTTGGAGGTGCGGGGTATCCCCTCTGGTCTGCAGGCCTCTCAGGGCCCTGGTGGAAGCTGGCGGGTAGTGGCTTACCACAGCCACGGCCTCCGATGACAACATCTGCTCGGTGGACAGGGTGGTGAAGTAGGCCAGGTTGGTCAGCACGTACACCAGTGTCACGATGGGGAGGGAGATGATGATGGCCAGGGGCAGGTTTCTGGAACCAACAGGGGCGACACGTCACTCAGGGCAGCCTGGGCTGAAGGCCAAACCCCGTGGTCAGGAGTCAGGCAGGCTCCCCACCTCCAGCAGCTCTGGCCTTTGTGCCTGGCTTCTCGAAGAAGGCGGGAAGCACCGAGAGCATGGGCTGGGCAGGGCGGCTGGGCCTGGAGTGGGGACCTGCAGAGGCCTGGCTGGTGCCCTGGCCGCAGGCCTCAGCTTCCCCACCTGAGAAATGGGGATTCTTCTGGGTGACCACAAGGGCTCGGGAGAGCTACGTTAGGCTGCTGGGTCTGAATCCTGATGCTCTGCTCAAGAGCTGCCAAGCTAGGGACTAGAACCCAGAGCCTGAGCAGCTCCTCTCGACTGTCCTGCCCTGAGTGGGGGCCTCTGCTGCCACCTGTTCTCTGGGGAAACCTTGCCACCACCCCTGCATCCTGCTGGCCCCCCAGGCTTCCAGTGGAATGTGGCTGCCCTGTCTCACATTCAAATAATGAAAAAAGACGACTCAGAGCGGTTGTGCCCTTGGTCGCCAAGATGTCATTCTCAAAACATACTCTGTTGCACTTGGACTCTCTGCCCGCACCCCTTGACCCAGCCAAATATGACATCTCCCGCAATGTGGCGGGCACCAGTCCAGTGGTTAGCCGTAAGAACCAGCTGAGGCCGGGCGCAGTGGCTCATGCCTATAATCCCAGCACTTTGGGAGGCCGAGGCTGGTGGATCACGAGGTCAGAAGTTCGAGAGCAGCCTGGCCAATATGGTGAAACACCGTTTCTACTAAAAATACAAAAATTAGCCAGGAGTGGTAGTGTGAGCCTGTAGCCCCTGCTACTCAGGAGGTGGAGGCAGAAGAACCGCTTGAATGCAGGAGGCAGAGGTTGCAGTGAGTCGAGGCTGTGCCACTGCACTGCAGCCTGGGTGACAGAGCAAGACTCCATCTCAAAACAAGAGCCAGGCTAAACTGAGAGCCCCTGCTTCAGTACGACGACCCCAACTGCTGAGCGGTCCTTGAAGACCCTGCCTGGATTCGTGGGACCAAAGCAAGACCAGCAACATCTGTCCTAACTGCAGACCCATTCCTAAGCTCACGCTTGGGAGCTAGCTCTGTGGATTTGGGCCCCTCTTCTTCTGGTATCACGTTTTCAGAACTGACAGGGATGGGAAAGAAGAACGTATCCGGGAAGGAATATTGGACCAGACGTTTAACCTCTCACATCAAGTCTGGCAATGATGACATACATATTCCTGTCTAAATAAAACGTCTATTAATTTAAAAAAACAAAAAAAGCACAACTCCATCCATTCTTGCACATACACGTACCTGTAGGGGTTGATCATTTCCTCTGTGACAAAATTCAAGTAATTCCTAAAATTTAGAGAACAGTATTTAGTTGTATGATCCTCATTACAGAAAAGAAATCACCGGGGAGAGAGCATCCTGGGCCGGCTGATGAGACCCCTGCCCCCGGCGGGCTACTTGCTGGGCTGCGGACCTGGAGGAGAGGGGCTGCAGGGCTCAGCTGCCTCCACGTGCTGCCTCTGCCTTGGCTGAGACGCAGAAGTGGAGCCAGGGCAGGGCTGCAGCAGGCAGCCTCCCCACACTTCCTAGGAATGCGGGTGACTCTGGAGGGTCACCTGCCACTCTGTACCGTCCGCTCCCTTTAACCACTCCTAGATGGCTGGGAGGTTTGGGATTCCTGGACCCATCAGGGACCAAGTTCCCTTGTATCCCCAGACCAAGGGACCTAGACATTCCAGAACCTACCATCCTCCGTAGGCAAAGAGGCCGCTGTATAGAGCCAGCACAATGTTCCCCACATCCAATTTGGTGCCTTCAAATGAGAACTTGGGATCTAGATTGGACACATCACCTGGCAGAGGCCAAATAGAGAGAAAGGAACGCTGGGTTAGAGAGCGCTGCACAGTGCATGCTACCAGTTGTGCTTTTTTTTTTTTTGCGGGCTGGGAATACAGCCAGGTCCCGGGACCTGCCGGCTGCGGTAACTGAAGGCGGGATCCCGGACGGGCGGGGGTACCAGGGACAGGAGTAGCCTTGGTAACCAGCCGCCTCTCCTGTCATGAGGCTGGAGGTCGGTTATGGTCCTGGTCATAGGATGGTCAGCAGGCAGGGCTTGACCTTGCAGGCCTGGAGCGCCTCAGGACAGGGCATTTCCCACAGCACCTCGGCCAAGACGCCCACAGCCCTTCTGGCCTCCCTCCCCCATCTGCTCTCTGACGGAATGTTCTGGAATGTGCAGACCTTTCACATCTGCAGAGCCCCACTGTGTCCTGCCCACTTACTTCTGCTGTGTGTGTGTATTGGGGGGCATCTGTCCTGCAAGTGGGGAAACAGGCACACAAGGACCTGCCAAGTCGCTTGAGAATCCAGGTCCTGCCACGCCTATCTGGCACTCACAGTGGGAGGGGGTGAAGGTGATTGCTGGAGGCCAGAAACGTGCCCTGTTCACTGTGACGCCCCCCAGACCCAGCCTGGGCTGATGGAAAGGAGGTCCCAGAGCACGCTCCCCACCACACACATCAATCCCCATAACCGACTTCCAGCCTCATGACAGGAGAGGCAGCTGGTTATCACACAGAGGGTGGCTGCTTTTGCTAAGAACAATACACTGAGGCTTCACATAGTGAGGTATTCAGGCAGAGCCAGACATCTGCAGCCCCAAGGCCTGGGTTACTTTTTTTTTTTTTGAGACAGGGTTCCACCACACCCAGCTAATTTTTGTATTTTGAGTAGAGATGGGGTTTCACCATGTTGCCCAGGCTAGTCTCGAACTCCTGGCCTGAGGTGATCCACCCGCCTCAGCCTCCCAAAGTGTTGGGATTGCAGGTGTGAGCACCATGCCCGGCGAGGCCTGGATAACTTCCACTCCGTGGTCACAGTCGTTTCTAGGACTTCAGCATTGTCACAGGACAGCATTCCCTGGGGTGCACAGCTCCGTGCTACAGCCTCTGAAACTTCCAAGAAAATCAGTACCAGCTGCTCTGACCAAGCAGATTCGTGCCATTGCACTCCAGCCTGGGCAACAAGAGTGAAACTCCGTCTAAAGAAAAACAAAAAGAGCTGGGCACAGTGGCTCACGCCTGTAATCCCAGCACTTTGGGAGGCTGAGGCAGACAGATCACAATGTCAGGGGTTCGAGACCAGCCTGACCAACATGGTGAAACCCCGTCTCTACTTAAAAATGCAAAAATTAGCCAGGGCATCGTGGTGCGCACTTGTAATCCCAGGTACCTGGGAGGCTGAGAAAGGAGAATTGCTTGAATCCGGGAGGTGGAAGGTTGCAGTGAGCCGAGAGCATGTAATTGCACTCGAGCCTGGGTGACAGAATGAGACTCCATCTCAAAAAAAAACAAAACAAACAAACAAAAAAACATCCCTCGGCCAGCCATAGTGCCTCACATCTGTAGATCTAGTACTTTGGGAGGCCAAGACCAGCCTGGGAAACATGGTCAAACCCTGCTTCTACAAAAAATACAAAAACTAGACGTGTATGGTGGTGCATGCCCATAGGCTCAGCTATTTGGAGGCTGAGGTGGGAGGATGACCTGAGCCCGGAAGACGGAGATTGCAGTGAGATCATGCCATTACACTCCAGCCCAGACGAGAGGCTCCAGCAGGGGAGGCTCAGCCAGCCCCCTCTTCTCCAGCCCCCCGTGTGGCTTCCATTCTTAGGACAGTGTGGCCAGGGCTGTCCTGCTGGGACCTTCTGGGCTGGAGGCTGTCTAGGGCCTCTCTCTGCCGAGCACATAAGGTCCTGGAGGACAGTGGATGTACATGGAGGGATGGCATCCCCCAATCTCACGGCTTTCGGTGCGACCCACTCATCACCCCGCATGGGCGAGGGCAGGAAGCCAGGGGTTCAGCTTTTGAGGACTCCAATCAAACCACCCGAAGTGCCTCTAAGCTGCCTGCCTACCATGGACACAGGGTGTCCCCCGCACTGACCAGGGACAGGGTGTGGGGTACATGTAGGAGTCTGGCCTCATAGCAGAGCTGTGGGGTTTGCCAGCCCTGGACTCTGCCAGATGGTGGCTCGGGACGGAGGTGGCTTTGTTGGATGCCTGACCAGAGGCCACCCCTCTCTCCATGGGTGTCACGAAGCAGGTGCCAGGTCTACTGGCCCACAACAGCGACTCAGCCTGGATCCTCTAGAGTTGTCCCTGGGGCTGGGCTGACACAGCCTGATCGGGCTTGGGGGTGCCACCCTGGGGCTCTGCCTGCCTCCAGCAGTCCTGCTCTGATAGCAGCTCTGCTTTAGGGTGGCCTGGAGGGTGGCAGGAGGGACCTGCCTGCAGCCCAGGGCAGCTGGACACAGAGAGGCCACCACACTCATCCGCTGATACCATAAGCTGCTGTGCCAGGCTCCTGGCTACACCCAGGGGAGAGACGCACCTTCCTGGGAGGAGGTGGAGTTGGGATTCAGAGTGTTCAAACCCCGGGGGCAGTGCCCCTGAACCTCCTCAGTGTGACCAGCGGACATTCTGCACGCCGGGAGATGTGGGGTTGTCTCGATGGCGGGGTGGGGTGCCACTGGCACGGAGTGGTGGAGGCTGGGGATGCTGCTGGATTTCCTGCAACGCACAGAACGTCCTCACCCCCAACAGAGGGCCCACGGCGGCAGCTGTGCCAGGCCGAGACGACGTGTGAGACGGCGACATGACGGGCTCCTCTCCGCCTTCTCTCCCACGAACCCTAGACTTGGACTCGATCCCTGCTTCAATATCAAGCCCCAGGCGCTGGGCTGGACGAATGACCGAGTGACCCACTCATCCCACAGCCACGTGCTCCAGTGAGCCACTCATCCAGCTGCCACAAGCTCCACAGTGAGCCACTTATCCCACAGCGACGAGCCTCCACAGTGAGTCACTCATCCAGCTGCCACAAGCTCCACAGTGAGCCACTTAACCCACAGCGACGAGCCTCCACAGTGAGCCACTCATCCAGCTGCCACGAGCCTCCACACCTGGATTCTGTGCTCTGCAGTCAGCCTCCACCCACAAGGAGGGGACAGTGTGGCTGAAAAGACAGCGAGGAAGAGAATCACTGTGGACAGATGGAAGAAGTGATGTTTGCAAGAGCCCACAGAGATGTGAGAACAGGCTCAGTGCAAAGCAGACGAGTGGGCCCTCCAGCCCCTTGCTGGTTCCCAAAAGGCATCTTCCTCAGGGGCTGGGGGTGCTGCCGTGAGAGCGAATGCACAGCCAGGCCCTGGGGGAGCAAGCAAACTGCAAAGGCCACGGTGACCCTGGGACCCAGGCACAGCAGCCTCGTCCCTGGATCCCCTTCCCTTGAGAACAGGGTAGCGGGTGGGAGCGCTCAAAAGGCCCTGGGGAGATGATTTCAGGGAAAAGTGGGCCTTGATCCCTGCGTCAGACAGATGCAGCCATGGGAACCATCCGCCCCGAGGCTGGCGGGGAGAGCGGAAGGCATCCGGCTGACAGAGCCTGGGGCTGCCCCCGGCGGCCAAGTGCCTGTGGAGCAGATGGCGAGCCCGACCTCCCCATTCCCCCGTGAGGTGGCCAACCCGCTGGCTCCTGACTCAGAGGACAAGTCTCTGAGTGGGGAGGCTCTTCACGGATACACAGCCACTGTGTCCCTGAAGAGCCTGCCCAGCCTGGAGAACATGGAAACGTGTAGACAGTGGATGTCCCAGAACCTCGGGGCTGACAGGGCCCCCCTCCCCACCCTGGAAACCCCTCCAGGGGACAAGCCAGTCACTCCCCAAGCGGGGACCTCTGCTGTGCTAGAGCCTCCCACCTTCCGGCCACTTTGCCCCTCGGGGCTCTACGTGGAGTGTGTTGAACAGTGTCCCCAAAATTCACGTCTGCAGGATGTGTCCGAGTGGCAAATGCGGTCTCTGCATGTGCGATCAGACAAAGGACCTCGAGGTGGGGTCATCCGGATTAGAGGGGGCATTAAGGCCGATGACAAGCATTCTTAACAACAGAGAGACAGAGCTGGAGCCAGCCCAGGATGCCCGCAGCCAGGAGCAGCTGCAGGGGAAGGCGGCACCCTGGGTCTGGACCTCTGGCTGCCAGGACCGGGACCGTCCGCGTGTCTGTTGCTAAAGCCACCCAATCTGTGGGCATCTACCGCCATACACGCAGGGGCCAACCGTGCCACCCCGGGGAGACCCCCCCTGCTTCTTCTGAGTGAGTCACAGACATGGTCGAGGGCCGGGCAGCTGCAACTCACACCTCATTTCTCAGTCATCAGCCTGGTGCGCAGCCCATGGCTCCTCATCTAAGACGGGGCTGGCCGTGGCCAGGGCTGGGGGCCTGTGAGCCCTGTGGGCTCAGGGAGGAAGTGCGGTGACCACCACACGGGTTCAGAGCTCACGCCCTCCTGGGGACCACGCCGCGCTTCCTCTGGTCTGTCCCACCCAGGCTGCGGCACCTCTTTTCAGGTGCCTGTTTCGCGCTGGCTCTCTGAAGTCTGGGAGCCATTATGGGCAGGAATTTGGGCTTGGGGATTCTGGCAGACACCAGATGGCGCATTCTGACCAGCAATGGTGTCTGTCCGTCTTAGAAACGTCCGTAGGAGCAAGCCCTTTGCTTAGGGCTACCAACCTCACACAAGAAGGAAAAGAGCTTTTTCCAACTCCACGGGTCGGAAAAGACCCTGAGAAGTGTCCCCAGCACAGGGCTGTGGCCGTGACGCCTCCCACGTTCACCTTTTCCTGCGGCTGCTCCGGCCTCTGTCCGTGTCTGATCAACAGCACAGGGGGGTGAAGGCAGCGGGAAGACGAGCCCCCGTCCCCATCCTAGAGCATGCACAGCCCCTGCTCCCGAGCCTGCTATCCTCCCGAGGCCGACCGCACAGAAGCATGGCAGGCCCAGGAGGGGACACAAA